AAAGTTTTATTTTTATTTTTTTTTACATGTCAAATCATTTTGGACAAACATTAATAAAATAAATAAGATGTTAATTTTTTATGATTTCTCTCATTGTACATGAACAGTGTAGAGAGGAGGAACAGAACGAGTCAATTCAAACGTCAGTAAACCAGGTGTTCAACCTTTCTGCCTCGTTACACTTTAACCTGCAGACGTCTGAGCTTTAACGAATCACCACCAGCCTGAAATCACAACCAGTCTGGAGCTACGAGCCCATCGTGTCCACATAAAGCCAGTCCATGTGGTTCAGCTGTGATCCTGGTGGAGGCCAGCAGGGGGCGCTGCTGCTTCAGTGTTAACACTGAACCTCCGTCAGGAGCTGGAGCTGCTCTGATCAGATGAACAGTGGAGGCACAGAATCAGATGGTTTCCTCTGAGCTCTGCTGCTTTCAGACCTTCAGTGGCTTCACTTCAACACTCACCAGAATAAAACCAGAACCAAGTCCAGACTGAGGTCAGATAAAAAAAGACAAAAGGTTTTATGACTGGAACTTGTTCATTTAATCTTTGTCGTCTGATCTGAACAAAGTTTCGGGACGTTTGCAGGCTTCAAACAGACTTCAGCTCGTTTAGACACATTCAGGACAAAATCAGTTTAAGTGATTTATTTCATTAAAACTGTCTAAATTCTGCCTTTGCAGCTTCTTTAACGATGTTTTCTGACATTTTAGAGACCAAACGTCCAATAACATGTTTAACATGCTACGTGCACTAACAACAACGAACATGTGCTAACTTGTGCTAAGATGCGCTAACAAATGATGACTTGTACAGACATCCACAAATATATGCTAATGAGCGCTACTAAGTGCTAGCGTCCACTGACATGTTCTTATCTGCACTTACTTTCACTAACTGGTGCACTTATATAAGCTAACATTTCCCAACATGTGCTAAAGTGTGCTAACATGTGCTAAGGTCCACAAACAAATGTTAATAGTCTCTAACTTGTCCTAACCTATG